CTGTTGTGGTATTACTGGGCAAGACACGTATCCCATCTTTTCTGTTGGAAGTGTTTGGAGGGACCGGTGGCGCCTGTGTACAGCAGACTCACCTCTGTCAGTGTGCCCCAGGGCAGCTGTGGCTACAATGTAGCTCATCACCACCAGCGTGTGAATGTGTATGTGAATGACTGATTGTTTTGTAAAGTGCCTTGGGGGGGGGGGGGTTCCAGGATTCTTGAAGGCACTATATCAAATATAGGCCATTTGGCATTTGTATCGGAAATTAAGCATTTCTGGGCCTTTCCACTGGAGGCGCATTGAGTACGCAGCCGTCATTATGTGGACGGGTGTGTTCCTTCTGCCGCAAAGTGTGTTGCTGACGGTTTGTGTCTATTTTTTACCCGCTATGCTTCCATAAAGCGTGACAGGGTAAAAACTACACAGTAAGGAGTAAGGACGGAAACCACAAAACCAGTGTCAAATATCCAAAACCTTACAAAATAAAAGTTACGTGCAGATTTTCAGTTATTAAAAATAGTGCGACATTTCTTTAGCTAAAGAACACAGAACAAGAAATCAACAGCAGACCTTTCTTAATACATGTTGCTGTCTTTCTCCTTGCTTGTGATCATGTGAACTTCCAAAATCAGGCTTGGTGTTGCAGTTTCCCTGTGATCTTGCAGGATCGGCTGCGTGGGATGCTTTTGCTACCGTTTCATGTCTGAAATGCTCCCAGTGGGAAGGGACCTTGGGGGTAAAACACTTCTATTATATTACGTGTTGCTTATGTGTCCTGTGGAAAGTCTAGGTTAGGCTATATCAGTATATCGGTAAAAAAGCCAATATCAGACATCCCTATCCAAACTGGTGTCTGTGGGAGCACTGGTTTATAATTTTCATTATAACTTGACTTCCAGCTCATTAAGGACTCTTAGATTAACTGCTATCAAACAACAACTATTAAGACCTGAAGTTACACATTACATAAGATCAAATATGGTGTTTCCCCCTCCTCATTCATACACACACAGTACAGGTACGGGCTAATTTTAGACCTTGTCTAAAGAATGGCATTCAGAAAGCGTCCCAGATTCAGCTGAGTCATCCAGTCGCTGCTCCGATTCTAATCAGAATCTGTGCACACATGGTTGTTAAGGCTGTGAAGATGCTTCTGCTGCTGTTTTAGCAAAAGCCTTTAAATAAACAAGTTTTTTTTTATGTCTATGTGATGAAAGGAAACAAACGGGTACCGTTTTGATTATTAAGAACAGAAAGAGGCAATGGGAAAAAGGGAATTAAAGTACAGAAAGATTATCTAATTATAGTGAGTTGTTACGAAATCATAGTCGGGCAGTTCATCTTCTAAGCAAAGTAAACAACCTGTATTTTTGGTCATTAAGGAAAACTCTGAGGCTCTGTGTGTGTGCGTGTGTGCGTGTGTGTGTGTGTGTGTGTGTGTGTGTGTGTGTGTGTGTGTGTGTGTGTGTGTGTGTGTGTGTGTGTGTGTGTGTGTGTGTGTGTGTGTGTGCGTGTGTGTGTGTGTGTGCGTGTGTGTGTGTGTGTGTGCCATGTGCCCATCATGAGTACCTTGACTGAGTGCCAAGAGAGCACTGAGCAAATGAGCTTACTAAAAAGGAGAAAGAAAAGAGGAAGCACAGCTAACAGGAGCAATCGGCTGGGTTTGTGTACAGGCACACGTCGATGTTCAAAGGAAAAGCGTCCGCCTTCAGTTTCCCTGAATTAATTCAGCTTTGCGGCTCATTTTCTCCGGTGCTTGGGTGTGTTGACAAGGAGCTAGTGCCTTTCTCCTGCTCTGATGAAGAGGCAGAGCGTTATCTGGGCACAACCTTTACCTCCACTCCTGGAAAAAAAGGGTCTTTCTTTAAAGTGAGTGTAGACCCCATTTGGATGGATGTGACAGTTTGGCCTGTTGGACGGTATAAAACAGTGACCCGGTTCCACCCTCCAACCCCCCACGGAGGAGCTCTGGACGGCCTGTCAGTCAGTAATTAGGTCCATCTAAAAGTGGGAGAAGGTGGTTGATGTTCAAGTTTTTGAACACAAAAGACCAGAAATAATAGTTATTCCACCTCATTTTAGTCGTGTTTACCTAATCTCCTCTGTCTGCAACACTTAATTTCATCACATCTCCTTCTGATTCATTGTTCTGTCTGTTTCCTTCTTCCCATCATTCCTGACCTCCCTCAGACGTTTGCATGACCGACAGGTTGCATGCATCCAACGTGGCCTTTCACCTGAGTGCCACCATCAGGGGAACAGCGGTATGGGTGGACAATTACGGAAGAGTTTCAATCAATAGCCTTGTTCCCGCTGCTTCTTATTGCTCTGACTAACTGACTGGCTGATGACCCATCTGGGAATGTGCGAAGTGATTGCAAGCAGCTTGAGAGCCTGAATAATTATGCTCTGCCTGCAGCGGTACCCAGATAACACTATTATTGAATGGAGTCAGCGTCCCCTCCATCCCACTCCAGTTGCACTTGTCTGTCAAATGCTGCTATGTATCCATCTTCCTTACCCCAATTCTATCTGAATTTTATATCATTTCCCTTGTTCGCTCAGGCTTTAGCCCGTAAGTAGCTTCTGTTGTGCTTCAAAGATGGTTGACGTGACATGAGCATCTGGAAGTACATAATGGAATTTGCCTTTTTACTGTCATGCTCAATGTCTGAGCGAAACGAGGAAAAGACATGACTTCAAATGTGTTCTCTTCTCTTCTTTTGTCTGCACTGGAGAGTCTGCTGACTTAAATCGATGCGAACCTCCCCGTCCTATCATCAAAGTAAGATGTAAATGAATTAAAGCCCTCTGGTAATAAGGAGGCGGTTTTAGGATCCTCTTTGTTTCAGTATCTGCCCCTTCCAAAAGAAAACGAAATGGAGGGCTTCACAACGGCTTAATATTCGTCATTCTTTGAGGGGTAAAAAAAAAAAAAGCTATGATTTTGGGGGCTTGAATCATGCCACTGATGATTGTGTCCTTTCTCAATTGGTCAGATCAGAGTGTAATTCTAATCAGTGGAGGGGAGAAGGAGCAGGAAGTAGGATGAGGTAAAGGATGGAGTTGGCACGCATGTGTTAGAAAAACGGGTAAAAGGGGACAGAGACACTGTGTGTGTGTGTGTGTTTTCATCTGTCGAGAGCGGCAGGCAAAGAGCGAGACGGAGTGAAGAAGAGTGCCAGCCAGAGAGGAGGAGAGAAAGGCAGAGGGAGGGGAATTGATATAGTGTGAGAGAGAGAGAGGGAGAGGTGGTTACGTGGAGCAGCACCCCACTTCATCAGGCAGCATACGGCAGACCTGCAGTGCGATCACACAGCATGGGAATGGGGCTATGAGAACGAGAGAAAGGAGGCAGAGGGAGACGAGAGCAAGGAGGGGGAGTTAAAAAGAAGCGCTTGAGGGATTTGCTTGGGTGAAAAGAAGGAGGGGGGATGATCACTGAGTGTGTTGCCCGTCGTGGATGTTGGAAGGATGTGGCAGCATCGGCTGAGGTTGAGGCAGGTCTGTGGTCTTCGGCGTTGAAGCGTCAGGACGTTATGCCCTGTGAGCAGTGAGGGGTATCGTGTGTGTGTGTGTGTGTGCGTGTGTGTGTGTGTGTGTGGGAGAGAGAGAGTGTGAGTGTGTTCTTGCATCTACGCTGCCTGTATGTCTCAGACAGGCAAGGGATGCAGCAAACCTCTGCCCTGAGATCAGAGGCTGCTAGCTGCACCCAGCGAGGAGAAGAACCAGGTGGGCTTTGGGGAGGAGCGAGGGGTTGCTTACCTCAGGAAGGAGCTAGCGTAACATGCACTGTGGTCCTGATGTGATCCCTGCTTCAGAGTCAGGAAGGCTCACCTGCCGGGTGTTGGATCTGAACCTGGATTTGATGCTTTGTTAAGACGAGCAGCACTTTCTCCGGTGGAGCCGCACACACAGCCGCCTGCTGAGGAGCGTGGATGCTGGGCAGCGCTGGGAGCACCGTCACCAACAAGGACACCGAGGCTTTTCCCAAACGTCTCACCTGGAGCGAAGGATCTATAAGTGGATTTGATTATGAATTGAGGAGTTTGGAATCAGCACACTGTGGAAATCCTAAGCCAATGTTTCTTTGATGTAGGATGTACAATACCTGATCGTACTCTGAGTGGCACTGGAGTAAGGACGGAATATGATTTAGGAAAATGTGTATTCCTTGATCTAAAATAACACGAGTACCTCAACAGTACTTTAGAATGCTGCTACCTTCATTGTATGAGCCTTGTCCTAGCTCTCAAAGAGGTTGACCAATGAAGCCATGGGACTCAGCCAGAGCTTTACAAGTATGTGGTGAAAAGCCTGTCCAATTCATTTTGGGGGAACTGAATATATTTGTATCCCATCCTAAAGGAGCAAGCTTAGATTCTAGTATATGTACAATGACAGGGACATTTTTAGCGTAGTAAATAATGTGTGACTTAGGAAAATGTCTGATTTAGTGATAAAAAATTTAAAATTTCTCTCAGTCTAGAAATACCCTGTGGTTTAATTTGTAGTGTTGGGTGTTGTTACGGCGACCTGTTTTCACACCTGCTCATCTGCTCACTAAAGGAATGTTTAGTGAACCTTGTTTGTTGGATGATGCCATAGTGGCTCAGTCCAACGTAATTAACCAACCCCAGCTTCAGATGGGCTTCCTTCCCTGCACTACCTCCACCCTCGCCTGACATCTCCAGTCAGTCACACTAACACCAGTAGGTGTAATATTAGTCTAGTCAGTCCCCTGCAGGGCCTGAGCGGTGCCTGCAGCCACTTCCCATCCTCCTCCTGTGTTTGAGTTTAGCCGGGCCCCCGCCTGTACTGTGGGAGCCCCTCATCCCCAGCCTGGACCCTGTCTCCCCCCCACCCTGCCTGGTGCTGCTGCACTCGGCTCTGCCTCTGCTGGCCGAGGATGATGTGGCAATGCCATGTGTCGTCCTCTGAGTGCCGCTGCTACCGGCTGAACGGCTTCTCCCTGCTGAAGCGCTTCCCTCTCTCGGCAGATGGGGCCTGTGGTAAAGCCCTGGACCAGCCGGTGGGAGAGTGGCTGGAGCACGTGGGGCTGCCGCAATACGAGAGCAAGTTCCTGCTTAATGGCTTTGACGACCTACGATTCATGGTGAGTCACCTGCAGCATGTCATCCCAGGGGTCAGTTCCACTTCACAACACGCCGTCTCCCTCTGTCAGCCCAGCTCTATTTGTCTTTTCATGTCACCACTCCACTCACTCACCCTCTGCTCGTCAGGAGCCCCGCCCCCTTTATTTTTCCATCTCTCTCTCACCCTTTCACCCCTTCCCTCGTAACACTTTCACCTCTTTCCTAATACCTCCTTTTCCACTCAGTGCAACACATGGCCCGGCAAAGATTTGTGGCCCCTCACTGGATCCTTTTAAAGAGTATGGGCTGCCACCAGTAGCAAGACAAATGACAACAAGGGCCCATTAGCTTCTTTTCCCAGCATTCCCAACCACCAAACCTTTTACTGTCCTGTATATTTCTGATATAACCCCCTTTCTTGTTAATAAATCACTTATCTTTTCCTATATGATCAGAACAAACGCTCTCCCACTTGAACACGATGAATGGTTGACTAAAATTAGACGTTGCATGGCTACATCTTTACTTCTTCACCTGTTCACCTGTTGTGGTTCTAACGAGACACTATTACTGCACAATGCATCATTATACCATGACAGCATGCTTTAACTTCACATTTGAAAATGCTCATGAGTAATGGAACGTTTGATTTTTCTCTGTTTTAAAGAGCAAGTCACCCCCTACAAGAAACTTACTTCACTCCCTCGTCATGTTTAAAAAATGCAACGAATGATGTTGCCTAGCAGACCGAGAGGGCGGAGCCACTAACAAATATACACACAGGTTCACAGCGGCATTGTGACATCATAACGTACCAGTTTACATCACAGCCTACCTCTTAGCCAATAGCGGTGGCAGATTTAAATTCAACTGCAGTTTAGAGTTTTTACCGTACAACGGCACAACACTGACAGTTTTAGGCAGAAAATTTAAATTTTAACTAAAATGCACTGAAGTGCAAAACTATTGACTACACGTGTCTGCAGCACGATTAGACACGCATTTATATAGTTTATCAGGAAAAAAAAGCTGATTTGGGGGTGACTTGCTCTTTAAATCTATTATTTAGCCAGTAAATAAATGACCACTTCACACCTAATTTCCCCAGATGATAATGAAATAATCTTGATCAGGCATATTGACATATTACAAATACTTTCCTTTTGAGAGAACTGTGTCAGAGTACATTTGAATAATTTCGCTCAGCTGTGGCTCAAAGGATGTCCACAATCGGACTAAAAGCGTTATCATGTTTCCCCGAGCGGTACGCTCCGTGGAAACTTGATAGTGCAATTGTCAGGGTCTGTTTAAACACATTATTAGATTTTCCATCCACCGGTCATGTTTCTCTAAAAACAAGGTTGCAGGTTGTAAAACAATAGGCCCAGTGGGAGAAATTGGACTTTTCTCAGAGCGCAGAGCTGTATTAGGACCAGGGGCAATATGTTACATCTGTTTGTCACAGCTGGGCTCGGTTAACCGAGATCAGTAAGCTCAGAGAAAACGGGGGTAAAACTCACAAAGCGTTCCAGCCGAGGAATGTTAGTCTCGCTTTCTGGGAAAGCATTAGATGGTTTACATTGTGTGATCGCTCTTATTTGAAGGTGTAGAACAGGAGAAAAAAATGGCTTCAAACATATCTGAGTTCATGTGGTGGCAAAAATAGTCAAAGAGTACTGGGTGATCTTTGGCTCACGGCTCAATTAATGAGTCATTCATCTACTACCCAGCTTTAATATCAGCTTCCGGTTATTGATTTGTACAATGACAAGTCAAGTGCCAAAGACGTATTTGAGATCATTTGCACAGTGTCCACCAGTAGGGATGTGATCATTGTGCTTTACTTACAGGGCTGGGCAGATTTATGGTTCAGACCCGTTAAAGCTCTTCTTAAAATCCTACCAGGTCACACAAGATCACAGTTTGTCCAGAGAGGCGTGCCACGTTTCCAGTTGATTTTTAACAGTATTCTTTAAAAGATACAACAGTTGAGTATTATGTTACTTTTTATGTATAATACAACAAAGCAAACGTTAAATAGAACCAAATCACTTAAACAATTTGTTTAGAAAACTTCACAAATGTTCGTGAATCAACATTTCACCTGCAGGTAATTTTTAAACATTTCTTATCTCCTTAAAGACCAAGTCCACTCATTTCTTCAACACATCTGCAGTGGTCTGTAGTATAAATGAATGCCTTGTGAGTCGATCTCTGTGGGGGAAAAAGCTCTGGCGCTCCTGTTTCAGGAACTAGAAGTGAGCCAGAGCAGAGGAGAGCAGAAGACGGCAGGATTTGGAGCCTTACTTCTTGATATGTGGACATCTCGCCTATGATTGGCTAAAAGCAATGCAACTCTGCAGCTGACTCAGTTTTATCTCCACAAATAACACAAGCCTGAGAGAGTTATGCTGTGTGTTGGAGTTGCTAAAGCTAACAGTTAGCTTCTACTAGCTGAGATGCACTCTCTCCTGGGCCCTCATTTTTCAGCCGTACTTATTTAATTTCATTTCATTTATTCATCTATAGAGCACCTTCCACAACCTTCAGGAGAAGCCCAAGGGGCTGAACACAACAATAAAAAGCAATAATAATAAATACAATAAAATATAAATAATAGAAATACAATAAAAACTGCATAAAAACAACAATTAATCAATTAAAATCAAGACAGAGTTACAGACCCCAGGGTGAAAATACCTGGACATAAAAATGGGCCATCAGATGTGACGTAAAAATCTGGAAGGAAGGCGCCAGCCTAATAGTCAAAGGTAGACCGTTCCACAAAGTTGGAGCAAGGATCACGAATGCACGATCTCCCCTCGATTTGTATCTGGAACGAGGTACCACCAATAAGTCCTGGTCAACGGAGTGAAGAGAGTGGGTGGGGACATGCCTTTGTAGTGCTGATAAATAGACAGGAGCAGTACTATGAAGAGCCCTAAAAGCAAGCATCAGCACTTTGAACTTTGCTCTGTACTGCATGGGAAGCCAGTGGAGTTCCGCCAACACTGGTGTAATATGGTCACGGCGTCTTTTACCAGTCAAAAATCTAGCAGATGAGTTCTGAACCAGCTGTAGGCGAGCAATCACACCCTGAGTCAGACCGGCATAGAGTCCATTACAGTAGTCAAGTCTGGACAGGACGAATGCATGAATGACAGACTGTAAATGCTCCCTTGACATCAGGGGCTTGATCTTGGGGTTATCAGAGAAAAGACGGAAATGCTGACTGTGCCGCGCAACGATGTCGTTTTTTTTTTTGCTGTAGTGAAAAATAGCGTCTGGCAAACACCGCAACCATCTTCTTTTTTTTGTTTTTTTGAAGAAAGGCTTTCAGCGCTTCTACTTTTTGTGGTTTTAAAGACATTCAAGTCACTTAGAACAGAGGAAAGAGCCGCAGCGAACTCCGCCGCTGTCTTCGTTGTTTACGAGCAACTGAGCGTCGCTGTGTGTGATGTCCGCGACACTTTCGTTTTTTAGCTGTTGTCAAAAATTGCGTGTGGTGACAATGCAACCGTCTTTCTTTAGAAAAAAGGTTTATAGCGCTTCTACTTGTTGTTTTAAAGACGTGTCCAAGTCATTTAGAACGGAGGAAAGAGCTGCAGCGAACTCCGCTTCAGTCGCCATGTTTATGACAAACTCGGCGTTATGGTGTGTGACGTATGCTACTCAGCTCTGATTGGCTCGGTTACAATTCCCAGGGGATGGGGTTATTTGAATAGAGAGTTCCCAGTCCCTTTCTCTGTGCTGAATTAAACAGAGTAGTCTGGCAGGCCAGGCTAGTAGGCAAAGGTGCCCCCAAGAGGTGGCCAGGGGTGGCCATGGCCACACCTAGAAAATTGCTGCAACCCACCCCCCCCCCCCCCCCCCCCCCCCCAGGAAAAGCCAGTGTTAACAAATCATATTAATGTTCAGTCAAACCATATATTGATCTTGTTTATTCAAGACATAATTATAAAACAAAATAAAAAATGACAATCAATGAGTAATGAAATAATCAGAATAAAAAAAATGCATATTTTTCTGCTGCTCACCATTAAAAAAAGTTTTTATCTCCATAGTTGTTTTTTTTACACAGCAACAGTTGAATTAACCTAAAAAAATAAATTTTTAAATTAAATTATGGATAACATTTTAAATAAAAACTTTCATGGTGACTGTATAGTTATTATGTTGTAAAATTAATCAAATATGTAGAAACATTTCAACATCAAAACAAATGTTTAAACTTGATTATTTACTTTGAATTCAGAATTAAATATAAATATTTTTTGTTTAGAGTCTATGCAAAGCTTTTGTGATTTCTTTTATTTATTTAATTTTTTTTTGTGATGGGTTCAACAGACCATCAAGCATTCAGAGGTCCATGTTGGTGCTGCAACTAATGTCTCTGCTGAACTTAATACATCAAGGAGATAAATCATTAAGCTCACAAGGCAAATTACCCATGCGTCCTCCAGAAGGATGTGGAGGCTGCAAATAAGAGAAAGGTCAGCGCAGTCAGGCAGGCATTGTGAATGTTTAATATTGTGCCCTTTTGGATTGTGCTTGACTTGTTTCAGATGTGATCAATCAGAAACTTTATGTGGGACTCTTTGCTAAGGATTTATTAGAAGAGTTAAGCAAATGGAAAATTTATGAAGGAGACTTTTTATTATAGTTCTATGGTCGATACAAAACACGTTTAAAAGGTTTTTTTTGCATTAAATCCCTCCCACATACAACAATTTCAACGGGTGAATTCTTGACAGTTTCAGCACCTTCCAGAATGAACCGTTTCAGAGCTCTGTTGCTTTAAGAAATCTAGTTGTTGCTGGCCATTTCCACCCACTCTGTATTATTATAAGCTGAGAAGCTCCAATATCGGGGAGGGGCTATAGAGCCGCTGCTCTACCAGCAGCGGCTCTCTCTTGCATGTGAGAAGTGCTTCTTTTCCACTTTCCTCATTTGTGACGTCACTAACAGAAACTTTTTCAAAGTTTTTATTTGGCAAAATTTTCCTAAAGCCAAACACTGACTGAAAATTGATAAAGGCTGTTTTTCAACTATGGGATGTTTATAGAGGCAGTAAAGACCCACGTGGCACCACAACAGGGTAGCTTTGCATAAAACACTCCCTTTAAATCTTTTTTATTTATTTTTTTCTTATTTTTATTTAACTATAAGAATAACCAGGGAATGATCTTTTCCATATTAATTTGTTCTTTTGGTGTTTTTGGGCCTTGGGTGTGTGATGAAATCAAATTCTGCTCAGAGGTTATTTTGAAAAACTGTAGTGATAACAAACCAGTTCTGTCACAGGGAAAAACGGAAGAAACAACAAAACTGACAAATCGGCCTTACAAAATACTTAACTGTGCTGGCACTCAATCCAAAGCAGATTCTGTCATTATTTGTGCACTTAGAGGATTAAAACTCTTCATTCTCATCCTGCAAACACAAACCACTGCTGTCTGAGCTGAAGATATATGCTACCATGCAGCTTGCAAAGTTTTCTTCTACCCAGCCATCGGAGTGAGAGAGCAGGCATTCACATGCTTCGGCGAGGCTCTCTGCATGTGATGATTGCGCTGAGATGTGGCTTTTGAGGGATCGTAAATAATGAACAGCTGTGTGCCCATTCTCATAATTTTTACACGACGATTATCATTTTCTGCTTTCTTCATGCTACCAGAATTGGGGCGCTCGCGGCTCTCATTCTCTCTGGCTTTTGTGCTCATGCTTTCCATTCTCAGTCAGAAACTTCACGTATTTTCTTCTTTTCCATAACCACGGCGTCCTTTGTCCTTTGTATCTCTAATTTCTCAACAAACAGATGTGGCGTTGAGGCAAATCGTCTTGTGCAGAGCATCTTAGAAGTTACCCATCGTGCATTTACGTTGCATCTCTGCTGCATTAATATTGCATCAATCTCTGCAGCCTTTTCTGTTTCAGATGGTATAATGTGGAACTGAGCATACATATTGTAACACATAAACCTATTTTTTCCACACCACTTCATAGCTAATGTCCACTGAGTCTTGAAAAAGTAACAAAATTTGATTTTCTAAACAATTCCTCTGTGGGGCAGACCAATAGAGCAATTCTAATTCACTGCTGCCCTAACCGAGTGCATTTAGTGTGATGAAGGACTTCTTCCATGGCTACATCTGCAAGTCGTATCCGATTAAATCAAGCTACCATAGCTCATAAGCTATGTAAGAACTGAACCATACATTCTCGTCACATGTTTCAAATGCAGCATGAAATAATAAGTTTGCACAGTCTCCCAAGGCATCATCAAACTTCAAACTGTGTTAATAAAAGTGGAGAATCTATTCTGGGCCACCATTACGTCCGACCCTACTTCATTTTGACCTTTTATTCCAGCGATCAGTGAGTAATCTCCAGACTGCACCCTGATGCAAGCCTGTGGATACTGCAGCATTGTTCTCTGAAATCAAACCAGTGAGAGCAGATTGAGCAAAGACCACAGAACATTTTAACATTCTTGGCCAGCGAGAGTCGATTTGCAGTCGGGGAAACATTTAGCTCCTCGTTCTCGTGTGTGTCCTTGTGACTTTATTCCAGCTTACACACATTCACGTTTCCACAAAAAAAACAGATCAGTATCTCCCTTTAGTCACGATTTCAGCCAAAGAAATATAATTATCCCTAATCCAGCTTTAGTTGGGAGGAGAGCAGTTTTGTGCCTCCACAACGAAACACAGCAGCAGAGGCATCCTGTAGAGGATGCTGCTGCCGTAGTGAAGTCTTTGTTCCCTCTGAGTCGCACCAGATTAGATTGATTACTCTTGGCATGCACAATTTATTTGACTTTGTTGTCCTCCCACTCACTTGTTAGTGCTCGTGTCAGAGATGTGCATATTCTGCAAGTCTGCTTGTTGTGTATGTGGAGAGCAGCTTCAATTTACCCTTCTGAGAAGAGAGTGTAGACCGAGTCAAGATGGTGTCACTAACCTGATCTAATATTATCTGAGCAAATATTGCTAGTGTGTGTGTGTGTGTGTGTGTGTGTGTGTGTGTGTGTGTGTGTGTGTGTGTGTGTGTGTGTGTGTGTGTGTGTGTGTGTGTGTGTGAGGGAGCCATACAACACAATACATGGCCAGTTCTTAGCAGTATTTTGTGTGGGCCTGCCTGTGAGTGGTGGTTTTCTCTGTGTGTATGTTTTGGCGACTACGCTTGCGTGTGTGCCTGTGTGTGAATGAGTTTATTTGCATGTTTCTCTCATGTTTATACGTATGCAGGGAAGTAACGTGATGGAGGACCAAGATCTGAGGGACATGGGGATCACTGACCCAGGACACAGGAAGAAAATCCTCCATGCAGCACGCGGCCTGCCCAAGGTACCCTTCACTCTTGCACATTTTGAAATAAAATAACATTTAACCAATTATTAAAATCATCACCTGGAATGAATTACTTTTCTACAGGGTTTGAATGTTTCGCAATACGATCTAAGGCTGACATGATGCTGATTTGGTCAAAAACTACACATAAAACAGGAGACTTAGATTGAACTTTTTAATGTGTATATTAAATTTGTAGGAAAGATAAAAGATCAGACATAGTCTAAAATTGAACGTGTTTATCTGGATGTATTATACATTTCATAAAGTTATGTTTCTGCCACCCTTTCAAAATAGCCGTTCATGATCAGTTTGGATTTTTTTATGAGCTGGTAACGGTTTTCTTGCAGAATGATCTCGCAATCACGCAATAATGACTGCAAGGATGTAATTTTGGTTTCAAATATGGTGGTACACTCATAACTTGAGTGGTGATAGTGAGGGAGTGTCAGTGATCCAAACTTTACATTAATTTTTGTAATATGTGGTCAGTAGATCTATTTTACCTAAAGTTTTACCTCATTTCAGCAAAAATATGCCCATGCATGACTGAACAGTAAAAAAGAAATTCCTCCTTAAGTCCTCACTCAGGGTCAAAGCCACACCAACTTCACATGTCTCTCTATGTGTAGGTGAAACCGCTCGGTTGTGACGGCAGCACCTCTCTCTCCTCTTGGTTGGACGTCCTTGGCCTGCATGAATATCTGCCCAACTTTCTTTCAAACGGCTACCGGACTCTGGAGTGTGTTAAAAACCTGTGGGAGCTGGAGATCGTCAATGTAAGAATCTTCTGACAAACACACATGGTTGACTTCCAGCGGCTTCCGAATCTGAAACATCAGGCAATGATATTTTTGTCCAGACAGGTCACCATGGTCACAAGGATATTTGTGTTTGAAGTTAAGGATCACTTTTTTTGTCCATTCAGCACATGGCTTTGCACTTTAAAGGTACAATAAGAAGGAATTTTATAGCGTAATAATTCCAAAACTGTCTAATGTCCTAATTATGTTGGAAGGTGACACTGAAGCAAATTTCCTTCTTAATCAGCTGGAAGGTTGTCAGTTCTTCTTTTGAAAAAGCCAAAGAGGGACATAGTATTTGATAACCATCTGCTGCTGGGTCTGCACCAAGCTAACGCTGCAGCACTGGCATTTGTAATTCAACACTGCACAACCAGAAGCTACAGAATTGTGGAAAGTGTTAGCCAGAAGCAGGAGCGACCCAGAAGTTATTTCTTGTACCCTAAGAAGCCACAGCATCTTTTTGCTTTCTTTAATATTTGGAAAAGCAGACTAGACTAACATTGAGCTAACAATGCTAGCAGTGAATTAGCAACAAATAGTCGTCTCTAAAATTGTCTTAAGCTATTTTTTCAGTTACAGAAAGCTTGAAATTACATTGAAATGTATTCATCTACTTATCAACCTCTATATGACCTGTTTGTGTGGAGAGGCGGGCCAAACCTCTCCCCGTGTAGAGAGCTGCAGCAACCAAAATACCTCTGAACCAAACGATTGATGATGTGAGTCAACACAGTGAGATTCCAGCCTTGTTTGCCTTCATACCCTAAAAGCTCCATGCTACATAACCCACGTGAACGTAACCCTCTAGTAGATGCAATTACATCATGAATTTAGCTAATGTGATCGATTTTATTTCTGGTAATGTTGTTAAAGGGACTTTCGGAAAGTTTAAGAACCAATACGTGTATAGAAATTTAAAATGTCTTCCCCAGTCTCCTGCAATGCCCTGGTCCTGTAGAGTGATCCTTGGCATTTTTATTGGGATTGCCTGTGTATTCATGTAAAATCACAGAAGAAGAGCATGTTTGGGTCGAACAAACCTGCTTTCCCGGTGCCTTCCAGAGGCAGTGTAATGCGTGATGGCATGCACGTTCATGCTCAGGCATAGCCCATAGCGTTTGCTTTCTGTAGCTCAGTGGCAGAGTGAGAGGCAGTGTTGTTAACTCCTAGCGTCTAGAGACAAACCTAGTAACATTTCTGAGGACCCTTTGCTACTTTCTGCAGAACTTTCTTGTAGATATTCCCTGCAGATTAGCAACAAATAAAAACCTTTGCGCTCTGAACCATTCTTCCGGGAGCAAGAAAAGAGAATGATAATCTGCGCATGTGCACAACGACATAAACCTTTCTCGGCCGGGTCGACGAGAAAGCTACTGCAGAGTTTGGGACCACCGCTTTATGCCTGCTGCTGCTGCAGATTCACGCCGCTGCAAATTCACGCTTCTACTAGAGATGACGCAGGCGTGAATCTGCAGTCTCCAGCTCTGCATCCGTCAGGCACTTTGGCCCTTCCTGCATTTGGCAAATAAATTCAGCGGGAGTTTGATCTACCATCCCGTTAACACATGCTCTGTGGCTCATCTGAATTTCCTTCAATGGCACGGGGATGGTTGTATCACGAGACACCCCGTTACAGCTCCTGAAATGAAAGAAGCCACGCACCCATCTGACAAATAAATTTTGCAGTGAGAGTGCAACCAGCTGATTGGCTGCTTTGGATGTCCAAGCCCATGCCCCACTGTCACC